TAGGTTTTTGCCGTAGGCACATGCATGAGAGAGAGAAAGAAAATGAGATAGTGAGAAGTCACCTTCCCGGGAGATGTCTACACCACAGTCTCTCTTCCATTCTCCTCTTGGGGTTGTGGGCACACAAGCACAGCACATCTGGCATGATTCCTAGGCCGCTGGTCTGGAGCTTGAACTGTGGTCAGCCATGTGTGAATCCAGTACCTTAACCACCATGCCATACTTCTTTCTATTTTTCCTCTTACCAGATTAATCCTTTTTTCTTCCCATGAACCTTTACTTGTTCCTCCTCCCTCTTTCTGAGCTGCTTTTATTTATATTCCTCAGGGCTCAGTACTGGTCTTCTTTTCTAAGGGATTTCTGGCCCTCCTTTCTCCCTGAGGGATTTCTCCCTAATGGTTTTAGTATCTTTTAAATGACTCTTGAGACTATTTAAGGTGATAATAATTGACACATACCATCTGCCAGACACTTTCTCCAAAATTTTAAAATTCAGTAACTCATTTCATTTTCACACCAACATACAAAGAATGTATTGTTACAGTTCCATCTTACAGATGAGGAAACTGTGACAGAGCATGATAAAGTAATAGGACCAAAGCCATGGTTAGCAGGTAGCAGAACTGGGATTAAACCTGGGACAGATTGGCCATGGAGCCTGTCTAAACCCCTTTCCCGCACTGACACACAGATGTAAGTCTCTTGGCCCAGTGGTGGTTGATGATGCTACTTAACAAGCTGAGGCCACGTGGGAAGCCAGGAATCAATTCACATTCCATCCGAAAACTCAGGCATTGTGTGTGCCTAAAGTCCCAGCTGCTCAGGAGATAGGGGCAATAGGATTATGATGTACCAAGACCTCATTTAAAAAATAAAGAATAATAAAAACAAAAATCTCTGGAGACCACAACTTTCTCCCCTATGACCTTTCTCACACACTCAGCTGCCTTGTTTATCATTTACTTAGATTTTTGACAGTGTCTCACATCTTCACTAGCACCTACCTCTACCAGTGTTGAAAATTTAGGTGTTGGGGCCAGCTGGTGGCACAGTGGTCACACAACTGGACCCACATGGGAAGGTTCCTGAGTTCCTGTCCCAGGACTCCCAGGCATCCAGGCGCACCCTACTGTGATCCTGCTTGGCAGAGTACTGGAGGTGGATCAGTGCAGGAAGACTTTGTTGGGAGTTCTGTGCCCTTCCCCTCACCTCTCAGAAGGGATAAGTAAACTTTGTTTTTTTTTTTAGAGGTTTTTGCTATAGGGTGCATGCACTCACCAGACAGAGAGAGACAGAGAGATAGAAAGTGAGAAATCACCCCCCAGGGGGGATGGTCACGCCACAATCCCTTCTCCTCCATTCTCCTCTTGGGATCTTGGGCATGCACGCACACGCGCCCGGCATGTTTTAAGCCACCGGGTCCGGGACGCAAACTGCAGTCAACTACGTGGGAGTCTAGCAACATAGCCATTATGCTAACTGCTAGTCCCAAGCAACCAAGTTTAAATTTCAGTCCTGGAGGCTTGAAAAATATGTTGGGCATGTGAACGTGCATGCCCAAAATTCTGACAAAATGGAGAAATGGAATATAAAAGCATTGTAGTGTGACAACATAGGTTACACACTCCTGTATCTGCCCTCTGGCATTAAAAAAAAACAAAACAGCAAGAATATATATATTTGGGGGCTGGTAGGTGGTGTGGTGGTTAAGATGCTGTACTCCCCCATGGTCGACCATGGTTCAAGTCCCAGACCTGGCAGCTTGCTTTCTCACTCTCTGTCTCTCTCTAGTCACATTAAATAGTAATAATAAGTAAAATAATACTCTTTAAAAAAAAGAATATATATATATATACACACACACACACACATACATACATACACACATATATGTGTGTATATATATATATATGTATGTATGTATGTATGTATTTAAGGTTTTTGTCATAGGGTGAGTGCACTTGCCAGAGAGAGACAGAAAGTCAGTGAGAGGGAAAGTGAGAAATCTCCCCCTCGGGGTGATTGGCCATACTACAGTGCCTTCTTCATTCTCTTTGGATTCTGGACACAACATGCACATGTCTTGGTGTGATTTTTCAAGCCGTGAGGTCTGGGACTTAAACTTGAGTTAGCCATGTGAGTGTCCAGCACCTTAACCACCATGCCTTCTGCTGGCCTCGGTAAGAATACTGTTAGATGGTATAGCGGTTACATTGCTGGACTCCCACATAGCCCGGTGGGTGCGCCCACCCAAGATTCTAGGAGGAGAATGGAGAAAGGGTTACAGTGTGGGCATCCCCCCTGAGGGTAACTTCTCACTTTCACTCTTGCTGTCTTTGTGTCTCTCCATTGAACACACATACCCTAAGGAAAAAACAAATTGGAGGGTCAGCAAATGGCGTAATGGTTACATCACTGGGCACTCACATGGTTGACCGTGGTTTGAGTCCCAAAGCCAATGGACTTGAGACTCATACCATGTGCATGTGTGTGCATGTGTGAAATCTTAAGAGGAGAATGGAGGAGAAGGGATTGCGGCATGGCTCTCCTCCCTGGGGGGTGATTTCTTGCTTTCTGTCTCAAGTGAGTGTATGTACCCTATAACAAAAATCTCTCTAAAAAAAAGAATAAAAATGCTTAGAGCTTGCATTACATGTAGAAACAACTCTAAACCACAGGGTACATGGTCCTGCATCAGTGTTTTTTTCTTCCTTTTTTAAAAAACTTATTTGTTTATTGCCAGAGGGTGTGTGTGTGTGTGAGCTCACAGAACGCTGTCCTTGTGGGATCTGGCTCCTAATACACATTGCTTAACAGGGCCTGCCCGACATCATTAATTCTCAGCCTGAGACATATTACTGCCACCTCCACCCACTGTAGACATTTGGACCCATGTAGAAGCTTGCGGAGCTTGTCCAGTTGCTCGGGAATGTGATTGCTTGTTAGTATTGGAGATATACAGGAAAGGGGTCTGCTTACCCACCAGTAGAGAGAAGCACTACCCCGTGCACCCTGGCCTCCACCTCCTTGTCCAGGCAGACTCCTGGATATCCAGCTTGAGTTGATGATGGTGTTGCCCTCGAATAAGGTGGGAGGACAAGGGAGATAGGGCTGAGCTGAGAGGTCTTGAATCCTACCAGGTAGCCGGAGGAAGTTCAGGAGAGAGAGGTGTCAGGATGCTGAACGCAAAGCAGAAGATTGTAAGTGGCGTTGCTGGGTGCCAGATAGGTCCGGTCGGGTAGATACAAGTCCATTACATACAACCTTTTCATTTCTGGTCTTTCTGACTGGGTGCTACAGGGAGTGTGGTGGAGATTGTGGTGGTCATCAACAGGATAACCATGAAGAGACTGCTGATTCTTGAGATAGCCAGAGCAGTGATCGGAGCTCTGAATGCAACATGGGGACCAGAAGTCTGTAGAAATCAGAGATCACAATGAGTCTCAGGTCAAAGGAGAAGAAAGGACAATAATGCCAAGACCTGGCTATAGACTTGACTTTGACTAGGACTGTAACTGGTGACACACCTTTTAGTTGAAGTGGAGGAAAAGTGTGTTCCTGGATGAGCCGAGAAACAGTTTTTTGAGTAAAGGGAGGCTTTGGCAAAGCTGATCGTGGGAGGCTATGTTTGCTCTTTACTCCACTGGCCTTGGCTTAGCTGCTTCCTGGCCTGTGCTAGGTGTCTCCAGGAGGCCTTAGGGTCAGCAGTAATGACACTGTTTTGGGTTTTGTCACTGTTTTTCTTTGGAATAGCCAGTGTAGTCAAGGAGAAAAATGGATACCATGGCTTTTCTTCACGTCATTTCAGATGGAAACAACTCTTTGCTCCAGAGTGTGGTTTAATGCATTTTTCAATTAGCTTTGCAAACATGCTTATTGACTCAGTGAGTAAGAGAAATTGGGTTTCTTTTTGGTATGACGCAAACTGATTTCTCATTTTTTTTTTTTTTCAGATCCTTTGAATATAAACATGTTCTCTGAAGACGTTGTAGTAATTGAGTTCTCTCCCATTAAAATGAGACTAAGGGCAACTAGCAGGTGGCATAGTGGTTAAGGTGTTGGAACTCCCACATGGGTTGATCATGGTTCAAGTCTCAGACCCGGAGGCTTGAAACTCATGCCGGGTGTGTGTGCATGTATGTCCAAAATTCTGAGAGGAGCACAGAGAGGAAGAGACTGTGGCATGGCCATCCCACCTGGGGCATGATTTCTTACAAAAAGTTCTCTCTCCAAAAAGAAAAAAAAAAAAGCTAAGGACTTTCCAAAGTAAGGACATTGAAAATATTAGTGTTTTAAATTTTGAGGTTATAGGGACCAGCAGGTAGTGTGGTGGTTAAGGTGCTGGGCATGGTTTGAGTCCCGGACCTGGTGGCTTGCTTTCTCGCTTCTTCTCTCTCTGTGTGTCCCTCTCTGGTCAAATTAAAATAAATGAATGAATCAATAAAACTAAATAATTCCTGAAGAAAAAAATTTGAGGTTATGAAGATCGCTTTAGAATCTTTAAGATTAGGCGGTAAGTGGGGTCCAGCAGAAGGCGTCATAGGACGTAAGGCACTAGATTCCCACATCTTCAACCATTGTTCTAGTCTTGAACATGGCAGTTTGAAACTCATGCCGGGCACGTGTGTGTGCATGCCCCAAATCCCAAGAGTAGAATGGAGGATACGGCACTACAGCGGGGTTGTCCTCCTGGCGGGTGATTTCTTACTTTTTCTCTGTCTCTTTTAGGAGCATGCTAGCCCTATAGTAAAAATATCTCTCAAAATTAGATGAATAATTGAATGCCAGGTCCAAGAGGCACTTGTACTGGCCCAGTTGGAGTGCTGCGTTTGCTGTACCTGGGTTAAGAAGTAGAACATTAGAGCTTCTTGAAAGTTGGACAGAGAAAAGAAGAGAGATGGTTTTCTTTTATTTAAGTGAACTATAACACTTTCCTGGCAATTTTGTAGAAGGACTCATTGCAAAACAATATTGACATATTTTTATGGTTTCTCTCATAGGCTCAAACTGTCCAGGTTGCTGAAGTTGAACCACAGTCGCAGCCACAGCCTTCCCCAGAACTTCTGCTTCCAAATTCTTTGAAGCCAGAAGAAGGGCTTGAAGTATGGAAAAACTGGGCCCAGACCAAGAACGCTGAACTAGAGAAGGATGCTCAGAACAGATTGGCACCCATTGGGAGTGAGTGTTTGGGTGGGCTGTGTCTAAAATGCAGTGTCTGAAGTAATAGGCCAGAAAGTCAAGAAACTTGTTCCATGGCTCTGGAGAGTAGAGAACATCATCTGATATCGTATGCTGAAGCTAAGACTAGCAGGAAGCAGGCCTGAACTTGTTCTGATGGGCAGGAGTTGTGGGGTTTGCCCAAGACCAAGAGTTTTACATAAATGGGTTTCTGGAGTTGACCCTGGGCAGATTCTGATCTTTTTCTCCCTTGCCTTTATTTATTTATTTATCTTCCTAAGGAATTAATTTAATTTTATTCATTGTCAATATTTTATTAAAGTTGACTAGAGAGAGACAGAAAGAGAGAAGGAATGTGAGAAAGCAAGCTGCCAGGTCCTGGACTCGATCAGCTGTCAGCCATGCGGGAGTCCAGCCACCTTAACCACCACGCCACCTTGCTGGCCCCCTTTATTTCTTGACCTTAATGATAATTTGGGTGATATAGGAGACATGAAGGCTTGGAAGGAAACCCTTAGTATAATAAAACATAGGTGATTACCGCCTTAGTAGTTCAGTTCTGATTGAAGGTAAAAGGAGCCGTTTTAGTCCTTGCACGCTGATGAGCAGTCTGCTCTGAGCCTTCCTTTCAGGAACAGTAGACATGAGATTTACCAGGACCATTGGGGCTTGTGTTTCAGGGCGCCAACTGCTGCGGTTCCAGGAAGACCTCATTTCTTCTGCTGTAGCTGAGTTGAATTATGGGCTGTGTCTGATGACGAGGGAAGCTCGAAATGGAGAAGGTGAACCCTATGACCCAGATGTGCTCTACTATATTTTTCTTTGTATTCAAAAGGTAGGAAACGGATTTTCATAGGAATATGTTTGAGCTGTACTCTCATTGGGTGTTTATTGGTCAGTGAAGTTAGAAAATGACAAGCAAGAGGTTCAAATAAGTTGTCTTTCAGCTATATAATGAAGTTTAAAATACACATTTTTTAATTGCAAAGACCTACATGTTCATTTTAGAAAATAAAACAAGTATTGTCCAGAATCCTACCACCTAGAGGAACTTGTTAAAATATTTGGTAATTATCTTATACCCATTTTTTAAAATTACAAAGCATTTATGTAACACTTTTTTTCTTGGTAAAAGTAAACACAGTTTTATAAAAGAGATTTATCCAAAATCGTCTGGTGCTGATATACAGCTTTTCTTCTCATTGTTGCCTATGTTAACACAGAATAATTATTTGAAGGAGTTTGGCTAGAATAATGCACAGATGTAGCCAGACTTTCAGGGCCTCCTAAGGTGAAGCATAACAGGGAAATTAATAAACTGGTGGTTTAGGGCAGCAGAGATGTCTTCCTTAGCATCTAAAGCTCTTAAGGAGAAACCCACAGAATAATGGAAGAGGGCTTGGCTTGCTGGTTCAGTTCTCTCTGTTGCCTCCTGAGCAAAGTCTCCGTCCCAGTTGTTCTTTCGTGCTGTTGCTAACAGACACCATGTGAATTTTTACATGTTCTTATTTCGTGTTCTCTCCAGTCTAGGAAGGCAGGCAGTCTTCTCCACTTACATACGAGGAAATGGAGTCACAGAAGTTAAAGACTCACACATGTTATTACTTAACTACACGATACTTGACCCCAGAGTCTGTTCATGATTTTTGCTATGACAGGCAGTGCCTTGCTTATGAGAAATAGCATTCACAAAATCCGCCTTACTGGTTGAACTGTTGTGAAGTGGGGCCAGCAGATGGCATAGTGGTTATGTTGCTGGACATAACCATGCCCAACTGCAGTTCAAGTCCTGAACCTGGTGACTTGAAACTCATGTTGGGCGCATGTGCCCGAGATCCTGGGAGAAGAATGGAGGAGAAGGGATTGTGGTATGCCCATCCTCCCAGGGGATGATTTCTTTATCTCCCTCTTACTGTCTCTGTCCTCCTTCTCCCCTCACCCCCTCCCCAGGCACATGCCCTAAGGCAGAAAACTGTTTAAAAAAGGCAGGGGTGGGGAGAGGATGTTGTGAGACTCAGTTCACATGTCTGAAGTACACTGGAATTGTCACATGCTGAGCAGTTTTGATGGCACTGGGTTAAAAACGGGGTGGCTTTCCTATTTCTCCTGAAAGTCTTACTCAGGAGACTAACAATAACCTTATTGGTTGCTTTTCTTTTAGTACCTTTTTGAAAATGGAAGAGTAGATGACATTTTCTCTGATCTGTATTATGTCCGATTTACGGAGTGGCTACATGAAGTTCTAAAGGATGTTCAGCCCCGGGTCACTCCACTTGGTAAGAGTCCCCCTCGTCTTTGGATTTCTTTTCCAGCTGGGTTTAAAAAGGCTGACAGCCCCCATGGTTTGCTGTGACAGTGAATGGGTGAGGGTGTAAATCCAGGTACCATCACTGGCCCTCTGCGGCTTGGCCTGCTATGGAAAGGACTCTACTCACCTGAGAGCCCTGCTGGTCTCAGTAAATGAAAACCAAAGTGTTGAAATAAGGAAGTTCTCTCTCACCTATATAGTGAATTTTAAAACAAGCATTTTTTTTTTTTTTTTTTTTTTTTTTTTTACTGCAAAGACCTGTGTGTTCATTTTAGAAATAAATTAAGAAAGTAAGTTTTGGGACCAGCAGATGGCAGAATGGCTACGCCGCTGGACTCCCATGTAGTCAACTGCAGTTCGAGTCCTGGACCCGGTGGCTTAAACTCAAACTGGGCATGTGTGTGCGTGTGTGCCCAAGATCCTGAGAGGAGAATGGAGGAGAAGGGATTGTGGTGTGGCCATCTCCCCTGGGGGGGTGAGATCTCTTGCTTTCTGTCTCTCTGTCTTTCTGGTGAGCACACATGCCCTATAGCAAAAACCTCAAAAAAGAAAAGTTATCATCCATAATCTACTACCTACAGAAACTTGTTAAAATATTTGGTAATTGGTAATTTTTTTTTTTTTCAGTCACAAAGCATTTATGTAACACAGGGGAATGCAAAACTAGTGGATTTGTAGTTACTATCTTTATTTTTTAAAAATTTATTTATTTATTTATTTATTTTTTTTTTTTGAGATTTTCATTGTAGGGCGCGTGCGCTCGCCAGACAGACAGAGAGAGACATAGAGACAGAAAGCGAGAAATCACCCCCCAGGGGGGATGGTCAC